CCGAGATTATCCATGTCAGACGTGAGAGGGGTCGGGGGGTCTCCTGAGGTAAGACTTGGCATAAAAAAGAACGACGAGGAAGTGGCAGACGAAGCAACAGAGTCCGCTATACGGCGCTATAATGAGAATATTTCCCTTTAGATCAATGCTTCCCGTAGTTTGACGGAACAGAAAATGTAATACAGCTGTTAAATCACGTGCAGACAGTTACTGCACCGAGCAGAAGTCACAGGATAGAAACGTCATTCCCCCCCTCCCACTGACTCGGAGGAGAATTCTCCGCATAATATCCTGCTAAATTTTCACATCAGCTCACTTTGACTTCATGCAGAAAAAAATACTCGGGTCTGGCAGGAGAGACTGCAGGTTAAGTCCGATTGAAAAATGCAGCTAATCCTCGTGAAATGAAAAGGAGTTTTGCAGAGGTTTTTCTGCAAGTGTGAAAGCCCTATAAGAGAAAGCCATTACAGAAACGTACACACTCAGCACACAACTAAGCACCGCTCATTCCTGGCTGCTGAAAGTGTTGTCAGCTGTAGAGACATTTACAGTGGACAGACACATCAGGGTGATGGAGTTACAACCGTCTGGTTCAACACGACAGTCATCCCCCTAAACTGAGAGGATTGGAGCAGCCTACAAACTGGATATGAGCTGCCCTACGGCTCTATCACCTAAAGGCAGAGAAGTCCCCTCCGATGGATATTTGCCCTGACTCCTGTAATACAATTATCAAAAGGCTGGTGCCAATTATCTATATTTTAGTAAAAACATGTAGCCCTATAAACAGAATGACCTGTTCATTTAACTCACCATATCATTACTTCATGACTTCTCACAGTGGCACTTAAGACATGAGAGCAATGTGAACAGAAGTGAATGATGTGACGACAAAGCTGACAGCAGAATAAAAGAAGAAGAAGGCAGTGGGATATTTTCTGACTGTGGTTAAAAGATGATAACCTAGCATACACTAGGTTAAGACTGGAAGCTAGCGACTAACTACTGGCTATGTGAATCATTTTTCATCAGTGGAGGGGAGGGAGGGGGTGCAACCCATTAGAACAAACGTATACAGTCTTGCCCAACCTGTATAATGGATATAGCAGGTACCGTTTGTCGGCTGCCTGTTTATAGGCAAACATTTGACATCTTTGATGCTGCTATGTTTGTTTTCTAGGAGCCACAAGTTGGACAAGAAAGTGAAGCTAGAGAAGAGAAAGGCCGGCCAACGGCAAGTTACCAAAAGCTGCACAGTTTGTAGGGGTGGCTCATGTCTCAGCGGGAGCGCGAGGAAACCAATAACCCACAGAATGAGATCCTACTTGTGGTGGTACATGACTGGAGCTGTTTATCCATTCCACTAATGATGCAAATAGAGAGTGCGGATTGTAAGAGAAAGCAACCTGTTAAAGACGGATTTATACCTCTGTGTTGAATCTATGCCGTAACATAGGCTACACCATAGGTTTGCGTTTAGAAGCCATATGCACGTAGCCTGACGTGCTAGTCTACAGAAGCAACGCAGACAGCAAGCCGTGTTATTTAGTCTGCAGTTTCCTCTCCTGGCTTACACCATTTGTAAAAAAAACATTGGGATACCGAGTCTCACTGTGACGAGAAGATCAATATATCTTCTTTTGTATCATGAACTTCTGTAGGCTAACTAGCAGCCTGAGCTAACAATGCTATCGGGTTGAACACGTCCTTTACATGCCAACGCCGTACTTCCATCTCCTCCAATGTCCACTCTTTTATTCTTTGAAATAATCGCAGTGTAATCAACTGTTGCTTAATATTTAAAATGTCCAACTCCAACAGAACACGGTCAGTTTTAGCCGCCATGGTTTTCTTTTTTAACAAAGCTAAGAATGAGGCTTAACCAGAAACTGACGATATATAACTAGCATAGAAATCTGCCAACAAGCATTTGTAGGCGGAATATCGTAGAGCTACCCAGACACACCAATGCACGAGTATGAAGTGCTCACAACGGTGTAGCTACTGTGTGGATCAGATGCAGAAGTATACCAGGCTTAATGGTAAATAAATACTCCACTCCATACTTAACAACCAGTCGACTCATTAGCCAGGAGTTTCTGTGAGGACAACAAAAATCCTGAATCCGATGCACTGTCTGCAACAAACAAATCCATGTATATAACAACAAGCCAGCTGCACTGAACACAGACCTCACTACCTGCTAAAAACACTCTGAAAAAACCTTGAGCGTAGACTTCTTGAGTGGTCTGTTAGAACAATATAAACCACTCACAGCATCATAATGTTTGTCTGCCTGGTATTTGCATGAATAAATCCTCCTGGGGCCCCAACAACACAGACAGAGAAGAGACTTTAGGTTCAGTGTCTGAAAGGTGACTTCTAAAAGACAACAAAGCAACCCCACTTTACAACGCACAAGTATTTATTACTTACTTTACTTATAAAGCCATAATTGGGAAAACGCCGCCATAAAACACTTCCTTGTTGAACCAGTCTCATAGTCAACACTCAACACGTTCCAGTAACGGTCTGGAGCTCCAAAGTTCCCGGGCCAAACACATCATTTGGTGAAACCGCTTCTAGCTTCTCTGCAGCATCCACAGGAACACTTTGAATGAGACATTTCAACTTCACACACTTTGTTCCTATGAGTCGAATTAAAACTATGATTTAAAACTACTCTGCCTTTGAGTGTAACTGTGTTGTTGACATTATTTCTATGTATTGGTTGTGCACATCTTTGTTGTTGTACTCTTGATATTAAAAATGAGGGCATGTCCGGTAGATAAATAAGCTTCAGTGACCAAAAAAATGTGATTTGTTGTGTTTTTTTTGTTTTTTTTGTTATACTGAATTGTGGCAACTATAGGAGCTAGAGTTCATGAGACTTTCTTGTTAGCTCAACATGAGGCTGCTGTTTTTGTCTTCACATATTAATGGAATTAAGTTGTTGTGGTTAGCAAAGGATTTACTTCCCTAATGATAACGTTAGCACCCAATGCTCATGTACAAAACCCCAATGCATGGAAGCTAGCTGTACACAAAACCAACAAAACGCAACTCACAACTGAACAGTTCAATAATATATTGTTCAAATAGTATAAACTGCATACTAACACGACTTTTAACATGCTACTTGCACCATGCTAACGCTTGTCTGGTCTGTTAAATAATACCACTAAGCTAGCTCAACTGTCAGGCCATAAAGAATTTAACAACAATATGTTTATTACTTATATAGCAATGTAGTTATTTGAATATTATTTGCTTCACTTGTTGGCCAGCTCCACCATTGGATAGACTGAAGAACCACAATGCATTGTGGGGCAGATTAGAACGACATGTGAGCTCCCAATGTCATACTTAAAATAGTGGCAAATCGAGTTGCACCCGGGGACTGAAACATACTGCACACTGAATGTGATTTCATAGTTTGAGTGTTATGACTAATATAAAGTATACCGTTTCCAGACAGCCATAGCACATTTAACACGTCAGCTTTATTTATCATTATCAAATTATGCCACACAACTTAGAACTGTAGTTTGAGATTTGCAGTTTCAGCCATTAACCCTTCATGATCAATGACATCCAGTGTGTGAATGATTTTACACAATTTAAGAGAGGAAGGATGATAATTACATTGTTACATGCTTTTTTTTTTTTTGTTTTTGTGTAAACAAAATTGAGTTTGTCTCATATAAACTTCCAGGACTTCAGCATGAATCATTTCCTAACTGAGTATGTGACATGGCGAACAGGATTATCGCAGTCAGATTGTAATAAATCTAAAACAAAACAATGGTTTAAAATGCATTAATATGTCAAGATTGTTCCCTTTTGTTTTGCAATTTTCAGGGTTTCTTGCTTATGCTGAGGTCATGCCTGATCCTCAGCATTTAATTCACCACTTCATAATGTAATAATAACATATGGTGAAGGCAGCTAGAGGAGGGGGGGGTGGGGGGGGAGCATTAAAGGGTTAACGTTCAGGCGCGTAAATACTCTTCATTGCTCCTCTGACGGGCTCGTTCACCGAAAAGGAAACACGATTAACAAATCATCTATAACCAATAAGACACACCGAGTGCAGCCGAACAGCGTGAAAGATGCCAAAACAAATCGGGAGTGTAAGGGGCAGACACGAGTGGCAGCAAGTACAACAACAGGAGGGAAATAAAACATGATGATAACAGGGATTTAGTGCTGTGAGCATTAACAAGCATATGCGCGGCGGGGGGAAAGTGGCGAGGGGCGGTGGACGATACGTCGGCGAGTTAATCCCCCAAAATGAAACATTGTAGGGAATATGTTGAGCGCATAAAGAGCGACAGAACGAGATCAGTGCATGCAACAATGTTGCTCTGTTAACCCGCTGAAGCTTACAGGCATCGGGGCTATTGTCAGCCATAGCTGCTGCCTGGCAGGAAAGCTGTTACGGGGCTGAGCTCAAGACTCGGGTCGTGATTTTAACCGTGCTTTACTGACACAGTCGGTGCAAAAATAGACAAAATCGGATGGGTTGTCGCAACATAAACTGATAATAAAGAGGAAATGTCGGCTAGAAAGCGGGTATGAAGAGGGGAAATGGGCGAGAAAATGAGCAGAGAGTCTGCCTCGGCTTCCCCCCGCTGCCGCTCGTTTCCAGCGGGGACGGTTCAGACCGGGGCTATGCGGGGATGTTACCGAGCCATCAAGCGCAATTAAAAAGACGAGGCACACGCCGAATTCACTTTATAATGGACAGTAACTTTTAAAAAATATGAATCTACTAAGTGTTATACACGGAAAAAATGTCACAACCCCGCTCGGCTATATTTAACTCCGCCTTCTTCTTCTTCTCCGAGCGGCCTCTCTTCAGATGTAGACGGGGCGACTGAGAGCCACAAAGCTGTCAAACGCGCCGAGACCTCGCCATTTTTGTTTGTTTTCCACAAATGCAAAAACGCCACACACAAAAAAAAAAACAACCACAGTGAGCAATCTTCGGTCCTTACCTGCCGTGGAACCAGTCCTTGCAAGCATCGCACTCGATCATAAACTGGGTCACGTCGTAAGGTAATCTGCAGATGCAATATACTGGTACAGTCGCCATGTTCAATTCACAACTACGTCGGGATAGACTGGGGGGGCTGCAGGAGGAACAACGTCCTGCAAACAATATGATCCAATATGATCTTCCCCAGGAAAAAAAAAAGCCAGGGGCAGACCCGCCGGACACATGAAACTAAACGCACATCTCCATCACACCACGGCCGTGTGGTGGAAACGATGGAGGCTCGTCGTAGCAGACTTTCCTGAAATGCATGATTATTATTATTACTATGTGCATGCCCCCTGGTGACTGTACGTTACGGCACCAAGGCGGTCATATTTGAAGCCAGAGGAAAATGTAGCCTCGATGTCGTTGCGAAATAAATAAATAAATGTTGAATGTTACGTCAGGGAGCTGGTTTTAAATCAGCGGAGCTCGAATCGGACGAATAAATACCCGGATCAATTACAAATGCAGATAACAGTGAGGGTTTTTTTTTTTTTTAATCCTCACAACACATGTGAAAGCGACGTAGCCATCATGAAAAATTAAAAATACTATTTTGTTATTAATGTGAGTCTGCGGAAGATAAAAAAAAAATACACATGTATGCATTAGCAATTACGTAATACGTAATAAATATAACTATATTAAATAATGACAATTAAAAAGCGTAGACTTATAAATACAGCAATTAATTATAATGTGCATTATTTTGCACAAGATTATATAAGAATATGAGATTTAAAAAAAAAAAAAATCCTATTACATTAAATGCATTATGTCATCACAGAATCATTTTTTAATCCTTTATCAGGGAAAAAAACATTTAGACTAATATTGATGAAATATCGATCTTTGTTAAACATTTATGGATTACTACCATAAACTGTAAATATTAAGGTTACTCCACTCGTTATGTTTTAAGGTTTTGACCCTTTTAGAATAAATGTTAGAAATATTTTTTTCGTTAAAAAATCTAATTGTAGAAGCTATTGTATTATTCATTTAAATGACATAACTGGCAGCAGTGTGAAAATGGCTTTCAAACCAAATTAATATAATAATGAAAGATGTAAAATCTACAGAAAATGTCGTTTTATATCATTTTATGTAAATTGTAATATTTTAATTTGAAAAGCAAATATTTTAAAATGTGTTTTGGTGGTTATAATTAAAACTTGCACAGATTGATGGCTTAGGCGAGGGATTCACATTCAGTATTTGTGTCTGCAGCAAACATGAGAGATTGGACAATATTGTACACTTTACAAGTCTTCTCTTAAATTAGTTAGAAAAAAATGATGTTATTATCAAAAAAAAGTCCAAAACATCTTTTTTGCATTTTTATTTTCATTTGTAGAAGTGTCATATTGACAACTCTTTTATTTAAAGATGTTTTAATGACATAATGGATGTACTTTGGAGTAAAAAATTTGACAATTTCATCTGATCTCAAGGTGCACTTTAAGATTTTCTCTGAACTTTCAACTCTATAATACCATCGTTATCAGCCGTTTCTAAATGTCATAGTTATCGACATAGACACTTTTCATACAATAAATCTACGACAATCTTTCATCCCATCTGCATGATGAAGAGTGATATTGCCTGCCTGGAAAGAGATAGTAGCCCTATTTGTAAATATTAAACATGAATGAAAGATATTGTAGTTTAAAGGGTTAACAAATAGTGTGTTTTATATCACTTGACTCTTTACAGGTCTTCAGAATTGGGATATAATCTTAAAATATACATAACCTTTCCAGGAGGCAATTTATTTTGGGCTTTTATTTTGAAAAAAATATTGGATTTTTTTTTTTTGCCTTTAAAGCAGATTTTCTCACTCTGCTGCTTTAAAATGGATGCAGGGATTTAAATATTCAGGAAGTCAGTCAGTGAGCAGGAAAAGGGTGAAATATTGATGCATACATGCTGTTACAGCAACGATACATGATGAATAAACAAACCACCCACAACTTGTACTAAAAGAATATAGTTTTATTAAGCTTTGTAGCTAAGCTTCTTCAAATATACCACACCACAAATCCATCAACATCCAATCAATCCCAACAGCAGTTCATTCTTTAACAATCCAAAGAGTTAGGAAGAAACTTACATAGAAGGTTACCTATTCAGTCTTGCGGGGGACAAGGGGGGGGGGGGGGGGGGGGGGACAAGGGTACACCGTTTGTGTGATCACTAGTGAAGGATGAGAAGGAGAACTCAGAAGAATTAGGTTGAAATGTTAAACGACAATTCTGGTGTAGAAGAAGAACAACTTAAACGGACACTACAACAGAGCACTAAATTGATTACCGCAGACGGCTGAAGTCTTAATCTGAAGGTGGAGAGTGTTGCTTTCAGTTTCATATGGAGAGATTCTGATCAAAGCGTGTTAAGGTACATGTTCAGATATTTGACTAACGCAGGAGAAAAAACAACAGAGAACAATATCGTGTCACTTCACTATTTCAAAGTGGCTAGATAACTTTTTTGCTCTTTTTTTTTGTAATTCAATGCAACAGAGATCAGTATCACTAACAAATCAAGATCAGAACAAATCGGTTACAACAGTTAACAACTTGTATGGGCCATCGGTGACATTAGCCATTTCTTTCTTTTTGCAAATGGGCACAGTACCTGTAATGATAGAAGAAAAAGGACCACATGCATTATAAGTACACACCTCTTAAACTGCCAACCATGCAGAGAAGGGCTTTTATTGTTGTGGAAGCGGTTTTTACTACAGCTCTCTATATTTGATTCAAGAAGTCGAGTATCAGAGATTCCTTGTGTCGGACTTTTTAAACGCAGTTTCTTGAAATGCTACAGATAACTAAACTTACATGGAGCTAATCTGAAATAATGGACACACAGTTGCTTATACGTGAACAAAAATTAAAGTTGCAACCAAAGGCAGTTGTGTTGCAGTTTCCTTTTTCTCGGTTACCTTGACGACAATAAACTGATAACCCCGATGCTAACGTGTAAGGCAGATTTGAAAGGAGAGTATTAACTCATAAGCACTGAAGTAATTAAAAATCAAAGCTCCAGAAGCTTTAATAGCTCGATAAAAAGGAATTGTAGTGTTCTCGTTAACAAGTAGAAATCAGTTTCATTAACAAGTGATGGGAGTGAACAACTCCTTAAACTAGCAGTGTAATAAATCTTGTGTTTCTTGAGAGGGGTTGGAATTTCATCTCTTTTCTTTGAGGAAACAAGTACATTGACTGTAGGTTTTCCAAATTTCCAGATATATTCTAAACCCTGTTCCATCTTTCATCCTTCACCCTCGCTAGAAAAATAGGCTTTACTCTTCTTTTCTCAAGACAGCGGCCTCTAGACCTTCATCTCTATGGCAGCCGCTGTCTTCGTTTAGTGCATTTAAGTGAGGATTAGAATTGCACGTCTTGGAGTCGCATTTGAAGGCACTTTCAGGTTGGATGGGAGCCCTGCGTTCCGCTTCATCTCCGTTCAGTTGGTCCGCCTCTTTGTCCTCCACGCCGTTCTCCGTCGTCGAGCCGTCGCACGGTGACGCGGGGGATTTTCTCTCCTCCGCTTTGGACCGCTTTCTCTCTTTCACTGCATCCTGTCCAGATGTATGGGCCGGTTTGTGAGGGGGCTTAATCGGCTAAGAAGGAAAAGACAAAAAAAAAAAAATAGATTTTTTTTTTAACTGATGCCAAAGAGGCTGAGACAGCGACTCTGAGCGCTCTTCTTTAAGTGATGTGAGATATGGAGAAAACACAGAAGCATGCTGAAGGTCATTGTTACAAACAAAATGACTGCAGCACAATTTAGAAGTCAATTAGCAGTCAAATTAAAGGGTTTTAAACAGCACAAAGACCTGCTGAGGGGGCTGTTTAGCTCCCACTCACCCCGCGCTGAAAGCTCAAACAATGGCGCGGGAATGTCGTTGTTGCACTGTAATTAAACAGTGAAAAGAGCAACAGCTGTATTATGATCTCTGTCTGTGGTGGAGCGTTACGACTAAGATTATAATCCTGCATTCCTGAAAAAAAAAAGAGGCCGCATGGTGGTGTAGTGGTTAGCGCTGTCGCCTCACAGTGAGGAGGTTCAAATCCCAGTTGAAGAGGAGTCTCTCTGTGTGGAGTCTGCATGTTCTCACCATGCATGTGAGGGTTCTCTCCGGGTGCTCCGGCTTCCTCCCACAGTCCAAAGACATGCTCGTAAGGTTAATTGTAGGTGTGAGTGTGGCTGCCTGTCTGTCTCTATATGTCAGCCCTGTGATTAACTGGCGAATAGTCCAGGGTGTAACCCCGCCTCTCGCCCAATGACAGCTGGGATCTACTCCAGCCCCTGTGCGACCCTGAACAGGAAAAGCAGTATAGATAATGGATGGATGGATGGAAGGATTCCTGAAGAAAAGATCCTAGATGTTGCTTAACCAGCTTTTGATTCTTCCACCCTGGCCTTTTTGTCCCTTTTTATTTTTAAATCAAATGTTCAAAAGAAGCTCTCCAACATTAAAGCTCTAGTTTCAGATCACTAGAAGTGTGTCGTCAGTGTCTCTCTCACTTAAATATTCTTATAATCACACAGGTGATCACTGCTGCTGTTTTCAGAATGGATGTTTGACAAGCAGCAACCCTAACTTGACCCTCGAGGGCCCGGGGATTTAGTGAAGTGTTCCTGATCCATACAGAGCGTTCTGTGTTCTGACAGGATAAGAACGGCCTTCAGAGTACGGTCATGTGTCGAACTTGTCCTGCTGAGGGGTCTGTATGTTAAACACTGAATTTAAAGTCGACTCATGTTGGTACTTTAGATGCAACCTTACAAAATGTAATTTGTGACATTCTTGTTAAAGCGTCACTTTCACCCGTGTTCTTGTTCAGACACCTCGACAACATGATGAAGTGCTTTTTAACTCATGTCAAGAAGTGGACTTCACTAAGGCTCTATCGGAAGCACCCGAAAGAGGCATGCCAAAAAGAAAGCATCAGTAACTTTTGACCCAGTCGTTGGAAAAAAAAAATCAAAAATATTTGAAAAATAAACAATCAATCAAATTGTATACTTTATATATCGCATCATTCAGGCAAATCTAAATGATCAACGTGCTTCACAGAGGAGCAGAAAAGTGATCAACATTTGTAAAAATAATCAAGAGACTAATGCACACCAATAAGAATTGAATTATAATAAAATAAAGAGGGATGATAAAATAATAAAATCAATAAGATCACGAGAATTAACACACCAGAAACCTTTAAAATACATTTAAATATTAAATGTGATGACTGAGTGATGAAATACTTCTAATGCTGAATAATTAACACAGTTCAATTCTAAAATAATGTGTTAATAACGTAAGATAGAAATAGAATAATCACGATGATGAAGAATAAATATAGAAACTAAAAACCAAAAATCAAACTGTCAAATGTTCACTGAAAAGTAGAATAAGGATATTGATCAAAACATAAGTATATAAATAGCCATGACATTATAAAGCACTTCATAACAGCCGGACTGAATAAATACATTTTGAAGATTTTGTTTAAAAATCTCCATCACACCACGAGACAAGACGCCGATGCCGAAGTATTTTTTCTAATTGCACTCACTCAAAGTTTTCTAAAAACATTTACTGCTTAAATCAAGATGCACAAAAAGCCCCACAAGTTTGTGGCGCCGGTAGCCTAGTGGTTAGTGCGCACGGCCCAGGTACGGAGGTTAGTCCTCCAAGCAGGCGGCCCAGATTGGAATCCAACCTGTGGCTCCTTTCCTTCATGTCATCCCCCACTCTCTCTCTCTCTCTGATTTCTGACTCTTTCCACTGTCATAAACAGAACCACTGTTTGACGTTTATATGAGACAGAAAGTGTCAGTGATTATTATTTCAAACTAAGATCAACTGATGTGACCCTGGGGTGTAGTTGTCCCTGATTCTTGCGTCTGCAGCTTCTTACAGCGCAGACAGATGGGTGATTAGATTAGCATGAGAGCACAGGATGAGTGAACGCTCCCTCTCCCACGATGTGTAATGAAATGTTACGATCATTATGAATGCATTGTAAAGGCAATATGTCTCCCATGTGAATGATGATTCATGTCTCGACTCACCAGGTATGCTGTCTGACTCTTGAAGACTCGAGTGTGGTACCTGCCCCCGCGACCGAACGCCCTGATGACGGGCGTTGAGATCACTCCTCTAGGACGACTACCAGTGACAGAAAAAACAAGTCTTTACTGTTAGCTACTAAAAAAAAGTAGCAGAAAAACTAAACATGAATCTTAGGAGATAAATACCCTCTGTTCGGTCCACCAACAGACACCACCTGGAGCGGGAAGCCCGCTCTTCCTCTGCCGCGTCGCGCTCCAGCCCACTGACCCACCACCGTGCCGGCTATCTCCAGCTTCCCACCCTGAGACGACATGCTTTGAAGTCCTTGTGGGGAGAAGAAAAACAAACAGGGTTTATACTAGAAACTGAACGTGTGATGGTCCGAGTGCAAATCTTGAAACACAAAACTAAATGGCCGCTGACCTTGGCTGTACCCTCCAGGCATCCCTCTGCCTCTCCCCTGAGGAGGCATCATAGGGGGCGGGGGAAGAAGGAGCCAGTGGGGGGGTAGAAAGGCATCCCGTGAGGAGGTGGAATCGGCGGCGGTGGGAATGGAGGAGGATGAGGCGGTCGAGTGAAGTTGAGACCTTCGAGGATGCTGTGACGCATCTTCTCCGCCTTGGCAACCAGCTCCCCCTGAAGAGAGAGAGAGAGAAAGTGGTGAAACGACAGATCGTTCTACTCATCAATAATTCCTAAAATCAACCCTGAAGTTAAGAACAAACGTGAGCTTTGAGACTGGAAGAGGTCATGCAGCGTTTTCTAATGCAGAATCTAAACGTCTAAAAGTAGAATCCACCTTCACAAGGATGTCACAGCATGTTTGTATTTTTCACATTTATAAAATAACAGGTCCGTTGCAGCTTCAGGATTTTCTACTAATCTGAAAATGTTGTTTTAAAAACTTTTTGTGTTTTTTTTGAGGACATTTTGCCTTTATGGGATAGGACAGCTGAAGAGAGACAGGAAATGTTTGGGAGGAGAGAGAGCAAAGAGCCGAGGTCGGATTCGGACCCACGTCCTCTGTTAACAGGACTAAAGCCTCTGTACATGGGGCGAGCGACACACGGTCAGTAACCACAAGGCTATCCGGCGGCCCGTGGTATTTTATTTCTGGACAACCAGTCGGACATAGAAAAGTGCAAACATATAGTGATCAAAGTAAAAAGAAAAACAGAAAGAAAGACTTTCCAGGTGAATAAGTGCAGTTATCAAATCAGCAGCAATCATTAAAAATGATCAATATGAGTCTCTTGTCAATATTCAGGTGTTGAACTTGTTAATTTAAAGGCACAGAAACGACAAAATCCTGAAAGTAGGTCTTAAAAAGTGTTATTAATGGTGTAAATAATGTATTTTGTCTTATTGTCTACTCTTTGAAATGTAACTATTCCTGTAAGTTGTCTCTTTGTTGTTTCTTTATTTTCTGGTGCAGATGTTGACCTTTACCCCGTTTGACCCTGCTGGTTATTCATCTTTATTGGACAGTGCAGGACTGAAACACAAAACAACTTACAGGTTTTCATTTTCGATGACAAGGAGAAGGTGTAGCTGTGTTCAACACTTTCTCAGAGTTAAGTAAAAGATGTTGTTTATATTGTGAAGTTTTGAGGAATCAAGCAAGTCTTCAAATTAGTATTTAAATGTTTGCAGCTCACTTTTGTTTTTGTGTTGATGACATGTTTAACATTAAACAGTGTGTGGTATGGGTAACATACATCCATGTTTCACATTAACATACTTCTCATTCGGCCTTCTATTTGGTTTAATGTGGCATGGCAGAGTTTACATTTCATTGTCTAATATACAGTTTCTGGGGGTCTGTTCTCCGCATACAGACACAGAAGAATAACAGCCTCTTATATTGTCTTAACTAACGGTGTTATTACTGTGGTGGAGACCCTGATGGATAAGGAAACGATTCAGAGCAACAATAAGCTGCTAAACAAATAATTATGAGTTCATTATTTACCCCAGGACACTTTACGTTCTAGTATACGCGTCAAGATGATTCATGTGCTCTAAGACGCGATTAACAAAGACTCAACAACAAGGGAGGAGGAGGTTAAAAAGGGGAATCCTACCCGCTGTGCTTCTTTGAATGTAAAAGAAAAAAGAACATGACAACTTTAAAACCACAGTTGTTTTGTTTTTTTTAACCAAAATACTCTTCATGTGTCTGACTTTAGACTTAATTACGTCATAATTAGACCTCTTCTCTCTCTCGTGCTTTGAAAACTATTAACCAGACAAAGAATCTGCAGGAATGGATCCTGCGTCACAGACACGCTCGTATGTCTGCTGCATCAACGCGCGTAGAATGAAACACAAAAAGCAGAGTGTCCACACGACACATGAACGTCTGAACGGGAAAAAAAAAATGGGACGCCTTTAAAGGAGAGACTTTCTAAAAGTGTGAACTTTGATAGCGGCGCTCTCACACGTTCCTGCGACAAGAACGAGCTGAGACTGTGTAGTTTAATCATTAACTCACCCTCTAGTTACTACAGTTACTTTTTCTAAGTGTAAGTGCAATGGGGTTGTTCATGAACTTTATAAAGATGTGGACATGGACAATATGTTTAGCAGGCTGTGAGCTGAGCAGGACTCAAACTTTGTCATGTTTTAACTGAAGCAAGCAGTAGCAATGGGGAACTAAGAAACTAAACAGGAAACAGAAGAAGTTCAAAGAAGGAGTGAAATATCAAGCTTCTGATCCGTCCATTCAGAGCAGCTTTAAAGCAGGTCATGTGATCAGGTGACTGGTGCGTGCTGTGTGTGAAGCTACCTGACCATCACAGAGATCAATGAGCTGGACCTTCTCCCGGTTGGCTCTGTTGAGTTTGCTCTGAAGCAGCTTGCCGTCAAAGTACATCCAGGGACAGCAGTGCTCCCAAGGTATCGGCTGTCCGCACGCGTCGTTGGCGAACAGAGCCATGTCCACGCCGCTCATGAACAGAGCGGCCAGCTGGACTCCTCGAGGGTCCAGGTTGTCTATCTGTCGAAGAGAGACATCCCCCCGCTTATTAAACGCCCCCGCAAAAGAACATTAACAAACAAGACGATGCAATCATCTACCAGAGGCGCAGAGCAAAGCACAGAGCAAGCTTAAAGGGCTCATTCACTCGCGGCTGCAGAAACACCACCTGATCCAGCCAACACAACAAAAGCTCAGCAGACACAACCGAGATGTTCTGGCACAGCAGGAGAGCAGACAGGCTGACAAAGCTACACAGACTTGGGTTGCCAACTTTTCCAGTACCCAATAAATGGGTACAAAAATGTTTAGTTTGGAGCTCAGTGCCACAGCGGTGCGGGTATGAAGTGTGAATAAAGCGTAGCATATTTGATCTGTAATTTTAATAAAACTGTTTTATTGTGTAAGTTCAAAAGAATGATCCTACTTTTGTTTAAGATTTTATTCACCTTTGTTCCAAAAATGAGCCCTAAACCAACAAATCACACCCCAGTCCTCCATCAGAGAGCAATTTTAAGATTTGTTTTTGGGGCTTTTTTATGTCGTTATTCTAGAGATAGGACGACAGTGAATAGAGTCAAAATATGGGGAGAGAGAGAGAGAGAGAGAGGGGAACGACATGTACAACAGGAGCCACAGGTCGGATTCTAACCCAGGCCGTCCGCTCTCAAGCTAAACCTCTGTACATGAGGCGCGCGCACTTACCGACGCCCCCTGATTTGAGATATTTCTTTAAACAGGAAATGAACAAAAGTTTCACATTCTGCCAAGATGATTAAATTATGGGCCCCGCTGTGGACAAAATCATTCAGTTCCAAATACGGGATGTCTCGACTAATACGGGACGGTTGGCAACCCTAACATAGACACACCACAAGGACCAAAGCGCACAGCTGTGTGGATGGTTTAAATCAACTGAAGGGGCCAAATGAGAGCAGAATGAGGAGACGGGGCGCTGTAACGCCTCGGTCTTCACACTTGATAAACCATCCACACATGACACGGGGGAACCCCCCTGCGACTCACTTGAAGCTCTACATCAATTCATCTTTCAGTGCAAAGCTACAGCTTCGGGAACAACAGGCTCGGACAAAACATGGGTTTTGTAGAGCCTCGTTGCAAATATGAGGAGTGTCCAGAGAAAACAAGCAGCATGAAATCAGACAGGAAGACGTTCATTCTCTCACCGATTTGAGTGAAATCAGGAGAATTGAAAACACAAATAGGTTGAGTACGTAAAGACAGGCGAATGATGTTGCATACATTTCATGTGCTTCTTGTCTCTTTATGGTTCTCCGACACTCCTCATATATTTATCACTACAAAATCACCTTCAGTTCCTGCAGCTGGTCAGGCTCATAAAGTTTAGTGGAAAGTGCTTGGGCTAGGAAAGCGTCAAGTTCGTTACGACGCAAAATTCTTACTCCTGGCCATTGTAACATAAACCTGAAGCAAAACAAAGAAGGTTAACATAGTTATAACCGTGTCTGGATGAATCCTTCCTCCCTCACTCTCCATTGAATTCACACTACACTCACCTAGACATGTGACATCTACAGTACAACATGTTTCTGTGTGTCAGGTGTTAACAGAGTCTGGTCCTGGCTCTCCAGCAGTTAAAAACTCACCGCAGCACACAACAGAGCACCATGAGCGGCATGGGGACATTGGCAGGGTTCAGCATAGCCGGAGTGTCGGAGCGCATGCAGGCCAGGAACGCTCTCATCCTGCGGTTCTTGTCTTCGACGGCCTTGCCCAGCCACAGCTTCCTCAGGTTAGGGCAGGTCCACTCCCTGAAGGGCAGAGCCTCCACCAGCTCCGGAGTGTGGGGAGACTTGCCTTTGTAGGCGGCCCACTCTTTGACGAGGACGTGTGTGTCTGTGGAGCAATATTTGGGGGATAGAGATGAGTGTTTTTATAAATCACAGGATCTCTAGAAGACGCAGCACAAATTTGACTAAGGACTGAAAGCACTTCTACCTCAGAGGAGAGAGAGAGAGTTATTAATGCTACTACATACTGTCACTTCAAGGTGAGCTCATGCAGGGTTGCTAGACACTTTTTAAAATCAAAAAGAGCTTTTAAGACCAAAACGAATACAAATTAAGACCATATTATTGCACTGTCAGCATTAGGGCTTGTCGGATTTAATGCAGGATTCAACAGCTTTGATTCTCATTGTCCCGGGTTTCAACGCTTTTTTTTGCACATCTTGTAAGCAGCCTCATTATCGCTGTTTGCTCCGCCAACCAAGTCCCTGGATTTCTCATCTTGAAGCCAAATTTCCTTCAACTTTATGTCTCTATCGTCTTCTTCTGTTTGCAGTTTGGGAATGTGTTAGTAAAACACAGCCGTAATCAATGCTGTAAATCCTTTGAATTGTCATGTGAGCAAGCAAAACAACAAAACAAAAAATATATAACGCTGCCTAGATTGTGGATTTAATAAAGTGTTCAGATATTTCTCAGGCAATGAGGCATTAACAAATGATTTAAGACCTTAAAAAAAGGGTTAGGGGGAACCCATGCTTTATTACAGCTCCCAAAATACATTTTTCTCAGTCCATCTTCTTTAAGTTTTATCACACATGCATGAAAAAAAAAACATTTTATTGACTACACTGGGCTTGTGTCATGATAAAGTTCAGCTCCTCTTGTTGCTTTTGGACCGAGGTCGATAACTTTAAAATGTATTTATTCTGATGCACACATTGTTTATTTAAGCATCTGTTATGAGACTGTACTGAGTAATGAAAGATGTTAGTCTCTTAATCCCTGAAGTCCCAAACCCCCTCTGCTCACAGCTGGACCACCCAGTACCATGTCTCCCCTCGTCAGCATCAATAACTTCATCTTAAAGCATCATCAGGTCTGCCAGATAACTTTGATATCTGTAACTTTGAGCTTAAGGGATACTTCACCCGCTGAAACATGAAACTGTACTGACATTGGGTCATACATGTAGTAGAAATGTGAATAAATGTTTTAGTACAAAAACACTACCAGGTTTCTAATGATACAACGCTTAATGTAAATGGGTGAAGTATCCCTTCAAGCTTTACTTTTACTGGTATCTTGAACAAGCTTTGCGCTGACTCCCATCAGATATTTGAATGCCAAAGATATCTTGGATGCTTCTCCCTATGCATGATTTTCTACGGATATTGAACATGAACATTTTAAGCGTATCAAGCCTCCCTTATATTTAATCTTTGTCCAGTTATGTGCCGTGTATGATTCACAACATCACTTCCATTTTTAGTTGAATTTGATGTATTTATTCTTCTGTGCTTCAAGAATGGAGATGAGAAAATACTTGAGGTTTAGTGTTTGTATACAGATACCGTAGTTGGCCAGGTATCAAATATCTCCCCACACACAACCAGGTAGGCCATGGCTAGTTTAAGGTCACTGAAGTAGTGACAGAAGACGCTTGATTTTGTGTGTGCACAAGTGGGTTGAATTTCCCTCGTAGCACACAGAGACCGCTTCAGTCACATTCAGTCGGACATGTTACGACACCTCCCAAATATCAGATGAGTGGATAACCGTGTGTTTAATTAAAAAACTCATAAGAAAAACTTTTCTACTAAACCAGAAGTGCATGCTGGGAATATTTTGCCAGTAAAAGCTGTTCACCTTTTCTGAGACTCTAGATGTGATGAGATGTATAACGGTGGCATAAAGGTAACTTTGTGACCACAGGACTCACATGCAGGGAGGCAGTTCTTCCTCATGGCGAGTCTCTCAGCCTTCTTCCTGGCCTCCGCCAGGCTGAAGAGCACTCCGTAAACATATTGACGGATGGGACGAAACAGCTGCACAGCTGAAGGCAGGTCTTTGTTAGCTTCATCTTCAACGGTGACAGACAGCTTAATCTCACCCTGCAAAGACACACTGTTACCTCAAGTGGTGCATGATGCCACACACAGCCCACAGTAAACACTACACACTCCACAGATAAACATCATGTCTGTGTATGCTTTTGACAAGAACGTGGTGATGTGTTGGATTTGTTGGGGTGGATTAGTCCGACCTTAGTGACAACATGGTAGATGTAGGGGTACATAAGGCCCTTCTTGTGTCTGTGCTCAGCCACCCGCAGGACTTCGGGGGCCACAGCAGGGAGAGGCGGGATGGTGATGTCCATGTGGTTCCTGGTTGGCATAGAGAGCAGGGAGGGGATCTGGGCATTCAGGCTGTGGAGACCTCCGGGCTGTGACCCTGGGCAAGCCTCAAATTTTACACAGAGGTCCACCTAAGAGCACGGGATGCAAAATTAAGTAAGCTGGTGGGATGTCTGATCAGATGTAATGCGGTTCCTCTGAGGTGTTACTCACTTTTGTTTGGTCCTCCAGGTCTCCCTCTGGTGGGTTCACAGAGTGGGGAGAATGTCCGTTTTTCTCCCAGCCTCCCTTATGGTCACTAAGATGACTAAAAAAACAAAATATAAACGACTGAGTTTTTAAGAGAAAACAACAATTACAATATGCAAATTAGTTCACAGATAAAGTGCAGAGTCGTGTGATGACAGATTACAATTCAGAAACAGAGAAACTGACCAATGCTCTCTCGTTTTTTAAAGTGGAGATACAATTCTGAGGTCTGGACCTGAGGACAATCTCCCCGTCCTAAGGTCCTGTCATGAGCCCAGTTTGAGATCACACTTCTGCAACAACGCTGTAACTCCTGTTGAGTGGTGACCCACTTTACCACTGAGCCATGACCCCAACCCAAACAGTAAGGGGACAGTGAACTAGAAAGGAGTTTCTCATTAAAAGGAGCCAGCAGCAGCAGACATGTGGCCGTGTGTTGTGTTTGGACTCACTTGGCAGTTGTGCCTGAGCTCTCGTCGTTCTCAGAGGAAGACGATGCAGAGCAGGCGTGGAGGAGAGCGGCCCGTGTGTGGTTGGGACTGCTGGCCTGGCCCGGGTTGCTCGGAGAGGACCTCTCGTACAGCGGTGTGTGCTTCCCTTCGTGAGGAATGTCGCCGAAGCTGTTCTGCTCCGTAAGGCCTCTCTCCACAGAGTCGAGAGCGAGGCCGCGCTCCACCAGAGGCTCTAAGAACGGGAGATGGACCTACAGACGGCGGGGGGGGGAACAGACTCATTAATAAGCTGAACCCCTTATAATATTTCACTGTTAAGTACTTTATACAGTCATTTCCCAGTCTTACCCCCGGTTTAATGGGCAGCGGCGCCTGTGGAATGTTGAGCATCTTTGGAGACGGCGCTGCAGCAGGCACTCCCATGTGTTTTGGTCCAACTGTAAAAAAAAATTAAAAAATAAAATTCAGCATTTAGACCAGAGAGATCCTGGAGCTGCTGCACAGAGATTTAGATTTTATTTTTGGGGCTTTTTGTGCCTTTATTGAGAGACAGGACAGTGGATAGAGTCTGAAATCAGGGAGAGAGAGAAAGAAAGAGTAGAGAATGACATGCGGGAAAAAGGATTTTTCGGATTTGAAACCCAGGATGCCCGCTGTGAGGACCGTAGCCTCTGTACATGGGGTGCGTGCTTACCTCTAGGCCACTGGTGCCCCCACAATGTAAGAAACAAATAGGTCTATTAAGTATTTTTTCACAGGAATTGCTTAGTTTGTTTAATGTCAAACAAAGGTGAGTTATTTGTAGGCTTATTTGAATTATATCCCAAATAAAATATAGCTGAAGTATTGCGAAGCCCATACTGTGTTTTAAGGCATCTAGCATTTTTTAAACTAAATAATAAAATCAGTCAACGATAGATGAATCATTAGACCCACAAGATTGTATTTCTCTAACACTGAAAGCACAGCATTAATATTTGTACTTACAATTTTCTTTCTAGGCCCCAAGCTGCACATTAACACAGTATATAAATATAGATAACTGGATGTGTGATTTAAACACATGCACAATGTTAGCTACATTATAAGCGTGCAGCAAATATGAGACTAATGGCTTGAACTGGACTCGACTGGTCTACTTGGACAGTATTTATCTTACTGCAGCTCATCAAACACACACTGCAGTAAACCAGAACACCACAAAAAGGCAAGAGAGTGTTGTCTGATGTATAGCGCTTCTCTTTGCTGATGTAGCACTTTTACGGGCATGAGCAGCTGTCTGAATGCCCTCTCTGGCAAAAACATACACAAGTTACATTTCTAAGTGAATCATATGAGCCCATTTTACAAAGAGAGGGATTGCTCAACCTATCCGAATCGGAGTCCCACCAGATCCTCTAAATGCAAACTAAAGCTGCTGATGAATACCAACTGTTGGATTCCAGTTCAGAGTAAATCATCATACTGTACAGTGTCATAACACAGAAACCCACCGAATAGTGGAGGCAAGTGAGGGGGTGTGCTGGCCACTGAGTAGTACTCCACTGCCTTCTTGAAGCGGACCACTTTGTCATCGGTGCACGACTAAAAGAACATAGAATGAGAGTAGAAGAAGAGCGGAGTCAGAGGATTGGCTGATTATTTGTCAACAGAGGAACGAAACTATCCAAGTTAATAACGATGTGACCTTAAGACAGAGTGGCTCTCTGCGTTCTCTGCTTATTATGGAGCACCTTGGAGCTCCGAGGAGCATCAAGTCCTTTTTATTTTACATTCGAGGAAGTACATAACGTGTTCCACACTGCAGTGTAGCCGCATTAACAAATACAAGGTGTGACATTTAAACTACTTTAAAGGATGCTGTGGCTAAAAGAGAGAAACAAATCTATCATTATGTCTGGTTGGTATAATGTATGATTACACACTGCAAAGTTTGACCATGTGAAATGATCTGTTTTCTTCTTTTTATGAGGGATAAACATTTATGAATCATTATGCTCTGTTTGAGTCTGAGGCTGTACATATTTCACCGCACTCTTCATCAATTCACCAAAGTGAAAGCTTCCCTGCAACCCTCTCCTGATGCTATAAAGGTTTTTCTGTAGGCTCATCATTGTTTACTGATGCACCACTTTATACACACTATACACAATCCAATGGGTTTTTCTAAATTCAAATATGGAACATTATAAATCTGTAATAACAAAAAGTCCTGACATAGTATTTTTATTATAGAAGTTTCACCCAGAGTCATTAATGCACTTCACTACCTGTGAATGCTTGAAGATGTCCTTGGCGATGGCCTCCAGGTCGGCGATGTCCGGGATGTTGCGGACGTAGTCGGCCACAGCCTTGATCACAACGTCGCAGGGTGGGAGCACGAGCTGGTGGGCGCGCACCTGAGGGGTCATTATAACACAGAGGTCACGGACAGGTCAACCACTCACATAACACACGCTGATCAATCAATCAAATCAAATCATTATTTGCATAGCGCCAATTCATAAAAAGACTAGCGATAATATGCAGGTAGGATTTCTCCTTTGCATTCCTGTTGTTCACACTTCCTCGCCGCTGAGTTTGGAGGTCAGAGCAGGCCGTGCGTGAATGGTTGTGGGGACGATACAGTCTGATGGTGGCGGCTGGGCGTCAGGGACGTCGGGTCGTAGTAGTGCCAGATGACCTCACTCAAGGTTGGGGTAGCTCAGTCTACACAAGACTGGCAGATGATACCGACATGCATGTGTCACTCTGAATAAGTTCAAGAATAAGTGAGGCAGCTGTAATGTAGGTGTGGTTGTCTAAATGGCAGAAAATAAAGAGAAACACCCTCATTGCCTCAGTCTTTACACATTAAGAGATTCAAAGTTGTCCATGTGACAGCAGCTGCAGATTAAGACTTTTAATGTCTTTAAACTAAACTCATACATCTCCAGGTCATAACATTATGTACCTTACAGTTATGGTGAAAGATTTTATTGATATGGTATATATATATTCAGGCCAGGAGTTATAAGCCAATCAAACAGGTGGGAGTTATTATATTTGCTCTATCTAATGGCACATTTGAACCTGATGACTTCGTGTTTAATCACAGCCAGCTAGTTATTTAAAAACCAACAGCTGAAGCATTAACACACCCTGCCCTTAAACGGTCTGGCACTGCTGTCATACAACTCTGTGACAGAGCTGACCAATCTCTGAATCTTCTGGTTCTGTAGACTCGCCATGTATGAGAATTCAGCCAAGTGACTACAGCCAGCGTGGCGGCAGCTGGTAGTTCACAGCTAAGAGAGCCATGAACAGTTTCACATCCATTTGTTGTCATCTGGCAGTTTTGTCACACATCTGTTAGAGACTACATGAGGGGATGTTCACAGCGTTGTTTGAACTCATACGAGAATACTGTGTGTAGCCATTAACACCACCCTTAGCTTAGCTTATAAACCAATGTTTTAAATCAAGAGGCTGGATGGAGGACGGACGATAGCTGTGGTGTCAAACTGATACTCACATACTTTAATGTTACTGTACTCAAACTGGGACCATACTTTAAGTAATGGACAAAATGATGTGATGCAGAAGACCACAAACATGCAACTGAAACAACTCACTAGAAACATTTTTCCTTAATAATCAATAAAAAGAGAAGTTGTGTAATGTTGTCGTTTTCTAAACAATAAGACCCTGCTCCTGGTAGCCATTTGGAAGAATTGCAAGTCAAAGGCACCTTCTTTTTTTCTTCACTTTTAGAACCAAGAAGCAGTGTCCATGTCCTATACATGATCTTATTTGAACTGAAGACCATGGACTGTCCTTGCACTCAAAGGGAAGTACATTTAGGCTGACCTCTAGTCTTCAAAGCCCAGAATGAATCATCAAGAAAACTGAATGGGTGTATTTTTTTAAGGTCATATATTGAACTCCTTTTCAACATAAATAAGTCTAAGAGCTGCCCACAACATGTCTGTGAAGTGTCTTGTTCTAAATCCACTCTGATCCTGTATTTGAGCATGTCTATAAACCCCTCTATTTCAGCCCTGCTCAGAACAGGCTGTTTCTGTGTCTGTACCTTTAAATGCAAATGAGCTGTATTTGACCACGCCCCCTCTGGAAGGGCTTGAGTTGCTTGGGGCTTTCTTGAATTCTTGCCCAATCGTTTACAGTAAGAAGGCAGACTCAGAGGGCAGAACCTCACCTCTGTTACTACCTCTGAAGACGGTACAGAAGTACATTATGTCTACGCGACATTCAGATTGGAGGCGAAATGTCTAAAGGGTGTAAATATTGGGGCTTGAAATGGGAGTCTGAGAAAATGAGTGACAATGTTGTTGTTGTTTTTTTGTGGGGGGGGGGGTTATTTGTTCAGAAGGCCTTCTGCAGGAGAAACGCCTGAAACTATGACAAATGATATTCAGCTCAGCGATGTGATTATACCATCATTGATTATTATTGATTATTGACCCATGTTATATTAAGTATTTACCTTCAAGGATGCTAAAGGATGTTCTGGACCAAGTAAGCTCCAGTGAAAGGCAGCCAAGTCTTCATCAGGCAGAATGTGATTACCTGTTAAAACACACAACGGCACACATCTGTGTCAGTACGCATCACCTGAACTGTCATCTTTTTTTTTTTCTTTCTTTCTGTCGAGCGGAATCGCAACTTTACCTAAAAGTGATGCAAAAATGACAAAACGATTTGGGTTGAGGTCGAGCTGCCGCGCAACTTCGTGCATCAGGTACTGGCTGGTGGTGAGGCTTTTGCTGTTGCGGCTCAGCTTGAGGGCGTGGGCGCTGAAGTAGCATGGGATGTTGCACAGAGCGTAGTCCGAGTCGTAGGCCACCAGGCCGTGGAAGCCGTTCTCCCTGCATAAGGCAATCACTTCCAGGTGGTGGTCCTCGATGCTCTGGACAACCTGAGGAGGGGCAAGAATTAAGGCTTTAGGCGGTAAAAGACTCAAAATAAACCTCTTACATAGACATGCTGCATTAGGCACGAGAAAAGGTTAAAGAAACAGGATTATCAAGCAGGGGCCGTTTTGTTTGAGCTGCTCTTAGTGAATTAGTCCTACACACCTGATTGGATACTCAAAGAAAGGGAGACAAATAATGAGCTATGTTTAAATCTTTGTCAGAGGGCGGGTCAATCTAAACAGCATTACTGTATGAATACTGACACTACACTGATCTGACAACGTAACTCCTCAGTGCATTGGAAAAATGAAATATTTTACAGAAGCAGAAGACATTTTCTTTGGCAGCATTGGGCCGATTTCCACAACAGCCTTACAGGATATATAGTAATTCAGGAGGCTACATGTAGCTGAGGTGAATTAAATTAGACTAATGCAACTCCACTTGGCTGTTTTTTAGGCCTTGACAGATGACTTTGTCCAATCGCAGGTCATTTGGCTTGCACTGCTGTATTGGATTTGTACTACAGAACCCAATATGGGAACGTCACCTTCAGGTGGTAGAAGCAGACGCCCGATTGGCTTGGATGAAAAAAATCATGCAAAACAACCTGCTTCTCCCAAAAACTGCCTCCACTGAACAGCAGCCACTGTAACTAACCACAAAACACGAGGACACATTTTGTGTTTCAGAGCTTGAGAGGTGACCGCAGTAGCCTGAAGTTGGATAAAAGGGTTGTTGTTCCTGTTGCTGTGCAGGTTATACGATAACTTCATATCCTGTCATATTTAAATGTGCTGAAGTGACAGGTTTGGTTGTGTAGGTAGACAGTAGTATTCACAGTATGCAGGTCAAAGTCTGTGGATATGCCAGTCTGTCTGTCTATCTGGTGGGACAGGCATGCAAAGAGAAGAGAGTTGCAGAATGACTTCGGTGTGTTTTTTGGGCACATTAAAAAAAACTGCTGAGTTAATGATTGATGTCTGGTTCAAATGTGTACTTTTTTTTTTTTTTTTAAACAAATCTCTCTCGATACCTGAAACAAAGAGGATCATTTCCCATCTTTTAAATCTGTACATGGATCTCTTTGGAACCTTTCCTTAAGGTGTCATCATGACCACGGCTGACCCTAACCTAATGAATATTTCTGATATTAGAAAAATAAAGTTTAAATACTGACATAAAGCTGCATTTAAGGTGAATCAGGTATCGGCCTGATGACTTGATGAACTCTGTACAACAGCTCACCTCTTGTGATCAGAGACCTGTCATCATGATAACATCTGTCTCTCCAAACTGTTAATCTGTTCTGCACATGTTAAATTTACAAATTATCCCTGCACTCATGTTCACTTCATCTGTCTGTCTACTCGCCGTTATATTGAATAGTTTCTGCTTATAATATGTCACACTCATGCACTTTAACTTATGTCAATACTGTCCATTTACAACTCTGTTTTTGCACATTTACATTTAATCTTTCAGATTTAAGACTAGTAATGCTAAGTTAAATCCTGGTTGTATATATTCTCATTCTTAGTTTTGATATTTTTAGTGCTTTAGTTACTTTGTAGTTAATATTATATTGTGTTTAAATTTGCTAACATTGTGTTTTTTGCTGCTGTGCTGCAATCTTCAGAGGTTGTTACTAATCTTTTGCTGTGTTGATTAATTCCCCTCATCGTGTCATTGACTATTCGTGAATTGGGTGCGTTTATTTAACTGAACAGTGGAAAAAGTAATCAGTGCATCATCAAAGCTGAAGAGGAAAGCCTGTCAAACTGATCTAATCAACAAAGACATTTATGAAATTCCAGAAAACATTTACATCTCGCATATTATTCAATTGCTGTTCTTATTATAGTTAACCCTTCTTACACAAAGTGCAGCCAGTCAGTTTGCTCTTCCCTGCACAGCAAACCACCTGACATTTTTTTATTTAGATCAAGATGTTGATCAAAATGCATCTGCTGTCATGTCAGACTGAGCTACTTATTTGGGTTTGTAACAAAGTCACTGAGTTCACTGCTAACGCTCCTCGTCACAGATTCACTTGGAGGAGTTTGATCTTTTATGGAGGTTTAAGTTTGCAGTGGTGACATGATGGTGGTGGTGGTGGGTGGCTAACAGGCTAATCCTAAAAAAAAAAAAAAAAAAAAAAAAAGCCTGCTAATGTCTGCGGGTGGTAGCCCAAAAGTGGCTCGGCTCAACAGGCGCTGCCAGGCCGAGTTTTCACTCACCCCTACGCGGAACCTGAGGAGCGCCAGTCGGATGCAGTGGGCCATGCACACGGGGGGCAGGAACCAGACTTTGGGCGGCGGGGTGCCCTTGTTCTGGACGTGGCTGATGATCTGCTGAGCGGTCTGCCTCTCGTTCACCTGTCGCTTGACCCACTCGTGAAGACGGCCTTTCTCCAGGGCGCCATTAAAGCACACCAGGAGCTCAATGTTGCCGCTGAAGCAGGCCTTGGAGAGGGCGGCCAAGTAGCCCAGCATGTGGTTCCACTGGCCCCCGCTGACCCAGTCGGTGTAGAAGCCCCCGTAGAGCCGGTGGAGGCAGTTCTCGGCGTCCACCAGCAATCTCAGCGGACTCTGAGGGGGTCTCTGCCGGCCACCTCCAACTATACTCCCCCTGGCTAGCTTCTGGAGCTCCACCGGCACCACGGCGCTGGGGCAATGCTTTTCAATGTACTCCAAGAAGCCCTGCACACCCATGTTGGAAAAATAAGTTTTAGCAGGAAAATTATGGAAAAAAAAAAATTAAAACCCGAGGTGGTTGCAGTCCGCCTGTCACCTCGACAGTGACTGACAGCCGCTTTGGTAGCCGAGGATATTGCAGGAGTTGAAGTAATTTTAAAAGCCGCTATTTAGACATCTTCGGTGAGGTTTTTTTTTTTGGTGAGTTGTTGTTTGGGGTTTTTTTTTTCATGGCTTCAAGCCGCCATGTGTCGATTCACGGTGCCATGTCTGGAGGGGGGGGTGGATGTGTGAGTGTGACTGGTGAGAGAGGAAGACCAAGGGGGGGAACACATGACGTCATTACGCACGGGCACGTACAGAAGAACACGTGGAAACGAGGGTGTTGTTATAGTTCATTGTTTCCCCCTAGTGGCGCGCTCGGATTCAGACGAAAGCCTTTGCTGATTTCCTGTATTCAGGTTTTATAATCTGGAAATGACATGTTCTTAAAATATGTGAATATCAGGACTGGACTCTTAAACCATTTAAACCAGCCTGTGGCTCCTTTCCCACATGTTAATTCCCCCTCTCTCTCTCTCTCTCCCTCCCTGATTTCCACCTCTATCCACTGTCCTATCTCTCCATTAAAGGCACAAAAGCCCCCAAAAAAATATATTTAAAAAACGTTTAAACCAGTTTTTCTTTTTTTTAGTATCTATCTATTTTTTGTACATTCTTAATTTTTCTTTTTTTTAAATTTAAATTGTACTGTGTTCACTTTCTGTTTGCAATCTTTGCTTTCCACCTCTATCCACTGTCCTATCTCTCCATTAAAGGCACAAAAGCCCCCAAAAAAATATATTTAAAAAACGTTTAAACCAGTTTTTCTTTTTTTTAGTATCTATCTATTTTTTGTACATTCTTAATTTTTCTTTTTTTTAAATTTAAATTGTACTGTGTTCACTTTCTGTTTGCAATCTTTGCTCTTTGCTGCTGTAATGTAATTGTAAATGTAAATTCCCCGTTGTGGGATAAATAAAGGATTATCTTATCTTATCTTATTTTCCCTTTACAGGGTTAATCAAAGTTTGAGATTAAGATAAAGTGTCAGTTGTATCCAGAAATGAAAGTAAATATGGATTAATTTACCCTGTCACTGAATGTATTATTTTACATACTTCCAATATTTAAAGTACTGTATAAGACTCTCGTTCATTTCTTTGAGCTCAGATAATTTTTGTTATTTTGGTGCTATGATTTCTGGAGGTATTTGATAAATTGGTTGATTTATGTGTGTAAATATGTTTGCTTCTAAGTGTCTGAATGTTTTAAATAATTGTTCATGATTTGACAATGGTTTTAAAATAATTTAATATATATATATATTATGTATTTCATCTTGTGTTTATTTTTTTTCTTGTTCTTTCTTCTTTAAGGTTAAGGCATTGTCTACACTGGGGTTGTCAAAATTAGATTTTCATATATCAGCTAAAATGACACTTACTGGATAATTTATACAAAGGTCTTATAAGAACAAATTATTCTGTTGGGATTTTTATTTTTCGTGTGAGTCCTGGGGGGCTCAGCCTTATATCTCTTTTCTAGTCTTCTGACTACTCAGAGTGCTTTTACACTGCAGGTCACACCTTCACATTCACACACTGATGGTAGAGGTTGCTATGAAGTGAGATCTTCAGAAGTAACTAATTACATTCATTCACACTTTGATACGCCTCAGACGAAGCACAAAACTCAACAATAAACTTATAAAAAAAAAATATCAAACAAGCACTACAAAAAACAGGATACAAACCAGGATACAATAAAACAATGTAAAACAGAAAGAGCAAGATCATATGACTACAAGACCTCTTTAAGAACTGTTTCAGATTTAGTGTAAAATGACCCCAGTCTGGAGTAATGATGATGATAATGATGATTAAATTAAAAGTTTGGAAACCATTCCCAAATACTATGTAGATCATCCAATTTTTCTGAGGCCTAATTGAACAGTGATCACATAGGCCTACATGAAGTCATAACCTTAAATTGCTGCTAGGGGGCAGCACCATATAAGTGAGTTTTTTTTGCCAGTAGTGAATCAAGTGTGTACAGAACAATTAGCACCATGCGTTCAACGACGTAGCATGTATCCAACCTGCATGTTATTCAGCACAACTGAAAACATAAGGTAAATACAGGTATATTATAAAATTCTTAAACTCTCTAACATTATCAAGGTATCAGGTATTAGGTTCCTATCAAAGCCAGATTACCAGGTAGGGTTACCTTGTTCATAAGCTAAAAGCTAGAATGCAATTTTAAAACAAAACCAAGTAGAAAAGTTATCCAGAAATAACAGAACAGAGTTGTTAAGACTGAAACAGCTGGGAGATGAGAGACCCCAAGATTTTTAGAATACATTTAACCCTCACTTTTTTTTGTATGGTCTGCTTAAAAATAAAAAGGAAGTTATTTTTTCGGCCTTTTTGCCTTCATTGGAAAGAGAAGAGAGACAGGAAATGTTTGGAGAGAGCGTGGGGGGTGACATGCAGCAAAAGGTCGTGGTCAGATTCTAAGCCATAACCACTAGGCAATCGACTCCCAAATGGCAAGATAGTCTGAACTTTACGCTTGAGCCAGTTAAGACAAAACACACACACACACACACACACACACACACACACGATACTGGATATGTTTCACACAAACCAACCAACATTGAGACACCTTATCTCACCTGATCTCAAAAGTGTTCTTTTTCTGTCATCCAGGAAATTGCTGCGTCCCCTGTGAAACCAAACCACAGTGCTAACACCTTATCTTGATTTGAATTACCTCAAGATTTTACACATGGATACAGCCGAACTCAAGTACATCCTCTGTAAATGTCTCTCTGAGTCATGACTGTCTACAATGACGCTCGAGTCCTGCCATCTGTATTGTTGTCAGGGCTGTGTTTACATCACGTTTACGTGGACGGGACGGCCTTGTGTATGAAGCTGTTTTAGACGCGGACTAGAGAAAAGAAGAGTAACATACTGACTGATTATTTGGATGTCACGTTAGTGTCTTTAGGTCACGCTCATTCTGTGTCAATTTATGTTCAATATGAAGCTGTGAGTTAACCAAAGTGTGCTAACATTAGCCTGCTAACACAACAAAGCAGGACACAGGCAATTGCAATGCACATGCACACTATAATCTTTATAGTGTAATTTTACAAAAATTACAATCAGTAGTCACAAACAGATAAGTGGAAAAGAAGCGCCACCTAAATAAAAACTGCAGACCTGCTTCACAAACCAACATAAATAAAGGGTTTGAAGGTTTTTTATTTTGATATCAATGAAAATCCAACATGTTTTCATACCTGTGTCAAGAAAATGAAGGAATGCATAATACACATTAGAATATTTACTTAGATATTAACACACAGTAGAACAAACTACTACCCTAGTGAGTGTTCCCCTTATGCTATAGTTTTAGTAAAATACATACAACATTTATATAACAGTTAAGAGTAAATAAACTTGCTGTATATAATGTCGACACATTTTATAATTAAGTTGCATTTTAAAATGGGCTTGACTAAAGTATCCTTAATGTGCAATTTATTTCAGAACTCCGTGTTGAAGTTTTCTTTTGAGTACAAAGTTTATATTTTAATTCCTCCGCTTGTCCCAGCAAGTTTTCTAATTTCATCAACATTTAAACCAGCACCTGCTTTTATTATATTGACATCATTCAACATACAGTTACAGCTGGCTGGTGAAGCCAGGACTTGATTAAATATGAACAGAAAGAAATAATGAAACCTACAGCTACAGGAAGTTACTGATAAAAAAAACAAAAGTCTTTTTCTGTACAAATAAATCAATATGCCTGATATGTGCCTTCTCACAGGTCCAGCGATATCCGAAAGTACTGTGCTCTTCGGGCAAGTTCCTTCGCAAACTCTTCGGCCTCATGCAGAGCCTGCTTATCGGGGAAGTGCAGCGCCGCCTTCTTGGTGGCCACAGCCAGCTGCTTCAAGAGAGCACACAGGTGGTTGCTCTTACACAGCAGGCTCTCGCTGGAGGCTCCACTATGGGCCACCCTGCACAGGGTGTCCACCAATCTCTGGCCCACCATGATGACCAGCTTACTGTGCGAGATGAATTTCTCCGGCGGCTGGCCGTCCTTAAGGCTGCCCACGAATCCCCTGATGGCCTTTTGGAGAGCACCGAAGTAAAGCCGGCAGTGCTCCGACTTGGAAGGTGGCAGATTTTGGAGTTTGTTATCAGCCTGAGCAGTGGAGAAAATAAAACAAAGAAGGTAAAGTTGTGTTTCCCTGCCACAAAGTCGGCCTTAAATCCTTGAAAGATGTTTTTTTTAATATACTCACATGCGCCTTGTTAGAGACTGGTGTGTCATTTTCTTTGGCTGCTGCCTCCACTTCCTTCTTCTGCTTTTCAAAATCATTCTTTGTCTGAGGTAAATAAAAAAGGATAAATATTTTTAACACTAAATACCATATGCATTTTAGTTTCCAAGGTAAAAAGCGAACAAATATGTAGCTGTTTATACAAATACACAAAGCTCTAAAATGTTCTGCTGCATGGGCGGTTCTAGGCAGGGGCCAACAGGGGCCAGTGCCCCTGTAACACTGAGCTTGGTTACCCCCTGTAGCCCCCCTCATAACACATACACAGTATTTGACTCAACAACCGGACTCACAATCTAGTATTAAAAACTGTTACTGAAACAAATATAAATCATGGTATTTTATGTTGTGGTATTTAATGATGTGTGCTATTATTTGGCATAACATATATTTTTTAAAGCGATCATCTTTGTCTATTTTTCACCTGGGTTTAATGTTCCCCTCTGACAAAACAACTGGCCCCAGTTTGGCCCCCTCAGTAAAAAATGGTCTAGAACCACCACTGTTCAGCTGAGCTGCAAACGGCCAAAGTTTTCACCCTGACTTAACCCCGACTATTTTTCCTTCCAGTCCCCCAGTAAAGTGTCTATGTGAAGTCAGAGTGTAACGATGTGTGAACACAGCAGGAAATATCTGGGAAAATTCACCACAAGCGAGTGGCAGGGTTGATTGCGTTCATGCGACTGGTGCACAAATGGCGCGATAGTCGAGAATATAATGAAGCTGCCTTCTACTCTTTTGTGCTCAACAGTATGCTCTTTTCCACTTTTTTTTCTCGAGCTCATTTTGTAAAAACAGCTACAGCATCTTGAGGATGAGGAGTTTTTACCTGTAGCTCCACATAGTCGTCATCGTCCTCCACTAAGTCTTCTCCTTGTTCACCCACGACAGGACTTTTCTTTGTGTCTGGCTGACTTTGGGCAGGGGGGCGCTCTGGATCTCTCTGAGGAACTCTGAAAAGAAGTTTGCCGTTTGCGTTGACGATGGACACCAGGCGCTTGACGTCTTCTGGAACAGTGCGCGCGACCATAACAAAGCGCTCCAGTTGGTCAGGTGTCTGGACCTGCCCTGGGTCCTGACAGAGCGTGTTGAGGGGCCAGCCAGCCAAGTTCAGAGTGCATACTGTTTGTTGTAGGATGACACTTGAGTCTTCTATGATGGACAGCTGTTTAAAAAGCCTCGTCTGAAGGTTGGAATCCGTCAAGCGTCGGGCGTTGCCCTTAATGTCGAGGGCAAAGTGAAGGAAGCATGCCAGAGAAGTCGCAATACTGTCTGCTGCTTCTTTGATCTCATTCAGATGCTTCTCCAGATGTTCTCTGCTTCTCCAGTGACTGCTGACAAAGTCCATGAGACGGGGCACGGCCCTGCAAACACACTCCTGCAGGTCCAGGAGTCTGCGGCAGGCCTCCTCCTGGCTGAGCGTCACTTCTCGCAATGGCTCGGGGGAGGAGGAGCTCAGAGGCAGAGATTCACAGGAGCTGGTGGACGAGCTGGAGGCTGTGCTGCTTCGTTGACTGTCTGACGCAGAGAGACGCAAGGTTCTGCCCCGCTCAACATCATCCTGCACCGATGACTCCCCGCTTCCTGGAAGGTCGTGGAAAGACGTATAAGTCCGGAATTTCCTCATTCTTTGGAGCTGTACCCTTTTCAGTTCATGGGCATTGCTTGAGTCACCCCTGCACTCTAGGGGTATATGATCTCTTTTGGAATCGCCGAGAATTAGGGGGTTCGGTTCCACCTGAGGGGGAACTGCGTAGACCATTTCCTCTGTATGAGTTGGTGGCTTGTCGTAGATGGGAGTCCTAGGTAGAACCTTAGGGGGACTGTCAAGAGTGCTGGGCTTTGGTATATCATAAAGCGAGGGAGCTGGACTGCTTCTTTGAATGGGCCATGCATGTGCTGGGAGAGTGCCACACAGCTGCCTGCAAACAGCTTTGGCTGGCATGGTGTCATAGCAGCCCGGTGGTGGACTTTGTGTCTCAGGACCCACAGGCACATCGTAAATCCACTCAGGCTTGTGAGGGCTTGGCAGGGTGCTAAATCCAGCCATGTTTATCTGTGGTGCTTCTGTCACTGAGGGGACAGGGATGTCATAGTTGGGATCCTGACTCAAAGGTGGTGGAACTGCGTACACCTGTGGACGAGGATAAACTTGTCAGAATCATTGTTCCAAAAGAACTTCAGGAGAGAAACACAAGTTAGAAGGACAGTTAACAATCCTCTTAAGATGGTTTCTTTGTTTAATCTTTACACAATGTCTTTTCATTGCATCACAAGTAACACATCGGGTGCGTTCGAATTGTCCCTCCTATCTCCTTTCACTATCCATTTTACTTTAACCCCGGGAAAACGTCATGAGGTTCAGGAAAGATGTTAGGAGAATTCATAAAGGACTTAGGGAAAGGCAATCGCGTTGCTCTGACAATCCGACCACATTTCCACTAGGTGACGTCATTAAATGCGACGGGCCGGCGGAGGTTAATGACGTGGGTCCGCCGTGTTGAAACTACAATGTTCCGAAAATGGACTACTAAAAGCACGTCTAAAAAACTTCCTGTCCACTCAGAAATCAACATCAACATAAATATGATTGTATGAAATTAATTGTTACATTTATGCAAAATATAGCCTACACATAATGTTTTAAGCATACAAATGTACAACTGCACAAAGCATTCTTAAGTGAATGAAATATGTTGAATAAAACATCATCTGGATAAAAATGTGTCTTATCTTTTATCCCTTACATGATCAGTGTCACTTTATGATCATCATTTCCGTGAACGGTCGGATGTGCGACTTGCTTTAAATGTTGCGGCCGAAAGGAATTGTGGGGCGGCATATCTCATCTCCTTTCGTAAAGGATGGTCCAGTGTATCCTATTCTAAAGGAGGTTATAAAGGAAGCACTGACCCACCTTTCCTTAGCTTTTAGAGAATTCAAATGGCTCTTATCATGGCCGCCACTTAAATGCTTCCGGGTCATTCCACTCAGTTAGGAACCTTCCTAAGCAAAAATGACAATTCGAACGCACCCATCATGTATGCCTTAGAGAGAAGACTTCTACAAAAGTATTTTTTTCCATATATCCTTCCAACTTACATATACATCTCCAGGACTGCTACACCTCGAACTCTCCAGAGAGTCCAATCTTCTCTCCAGCTCTGAAATTGGTAGCAGTTTGTTATTCCGTGGCATGTGTCTTGGAGTGATCGATTCCTGCAAAAAAGAACAAAATAACAGTCAGGGCCCACTCAGTCAAATGGTAGGATGTCGACCAATAATCTCGACTTTTGATGCATTTTTTGCTGTGTTCATTTGAAGAATCTCACAGTGAAAAGAGAAGGGCGTCTCGCTTGGTTTGGGACATCGTAAACCTCCCCTTTCGCACCGAACGCCATGCTGAAGAATGAAGTCTGCAGACAAGACAAGACAGGATGTTATAGCGGAGTCGACTGGCAACATCTGCACCGCTTTGATCAAAGCTGCATCTACCTCACTGACCTCTACCTCAACACGTTTTATGGGGACAGTGTTTGCTCTGAAGACTGCTGAGAGAGCCGGAGAACCCCATTATGTATGCACTTTGCCAATTAACGCAGCTCTATAATAGAAGCCATGCTGCTAGTTGAATATAAGGTGGCTACTGCAGAAGGGAAGAGGACTCCCCCGGAGCAGGAAAGGAAATGGTGAACATGTGGGGATATTTCCCCCCACCTTCTGCTGCATAGGCACCCATACACACACTTCTGTCTTTCTGGGGTCTCTGGCGGCATGGGTTGCTGTTTGCAGTTAAAAGTGTCTGAAGTCTGTGTCTGTTTGTCTTTTACGGGCTAATAAAGACCCCAGTGCTGCATGCCTGTCCCCATGGAGAGGCCCCTGGTCCCCATCTGTAAGCTCTTTTGTCAGCAGGGGGTTCGCTGCGTTGCATTTCTGCCTCTCTAATCATGAGTGAACATTTCCCAAGAAAAGGGGGACCAAGGTTGACCTCAGAGCAGTAGACATACTCACAACCACATTAAGGTTTTACTCTTTATTCACAAATTCAGTCGTTCTTACATTAAAGTAAAAATGTCTGTGCTTACCTCAGGTCCTTCTTGGCTGAGTTTAAGTGCTGATGGGATTGAATTTCTTGAAGCAGATAAAGGAGCGGAGGGCACTTTGTAGATCATGTCCATGCGTTCATAAGCTGGGCTGCTGGACGGTCGGGGAACGCTTGGGATTTGGTAGATATTTTGCGCACCGTGATCAGCTTCGGCGTGGGTTAACCTGGGTTTCTCATGACTCCATGAACCTGCAGGAGTTTCGTTTTGTGGTAAAAGCTGCAGTCTATTTGCAGGGGCCAGGCCATGCCGTCCATGAAGAGAACACATCCACCATCCACTGGTGCCGGCCACGTTTTGATCCATCACTGTGACGATGTCGCCCTTTCTGAAGGCCAGCTCGTCTGCACATTCTGCAGTGTTGTCATACAGAGCCTTCGCAAGTTTCTTCTGTAGAAAGGAGAGGAAATGGAAGTTAAAATTGGGAGTTTCAAAAATAGTAGTCCTGAAGTAGTGCGTGGCACATTTTAAAAGACAAAAGTAGTCACAAAAACAACTTCAGAATGTAATTTTAGAAAGGTACTTATATATTTCTAAATTGTACTTTACACGTAGATCCCCTTGTAAATATTTGGAAGCTGGAATGTGACTGGAAGAGGACGAAGAGGAAGTTAAATGCCCCACACACATACATTCAGCACAGATATACAAAAAATGCTTAAATGCCAAAAATAGTCTGCATAAAACTTTTTTGGTTGGTTAAGTGGTTAATGGTTCATTTGTGTCTTTTCTAATGTAATCTTGTGTCCTCTTTTGTGTCTTATTTATAACTTTGTGTTCATGAGGTGTATTTTTCACACAAAATGCAGAAAATGTAATAAATTTAAAATGTGTGGACTTTAGTAGTTCTTGTGTTTCTGCACTATTTTAGCTCTGCAGAATTTATATAGCTGTAGCTTCATACAAGTATACTACATAGTGTTCACGTGTAGTTTTGTATGACTTTCATTTAGTTTTATTTATAATATTTTAAGAATAGCGACAAAAAAAAAAAAACTTACACTAAATCCAGAACTTGACACATGGTCATGCAGTAGAAGAAGAAGTGACCTTATTTTAGTTTCACTGACATCTTGACTTTGATTTGAAGAAGTATCAGAACAAAGTTTTAATGGCAGACACAGACCTCCATGTAACCATAATAACTCACTCACCCCTGGACCAAAGGAGAGAGAGAGAGAGAGAGAGAGAGAGAGAGAGAGAGAGAGAGAGAGAGAGCTGTTCACTGATATATCTTGAGAAGCATGTGCATGCTGTTTAACAATTTTTTCTTGTTTGTTATCGATTGCAATCTTTTTTGCAGCTCCTCAATGTAAAGGGTTCTTTTTTCTTTTTTTTTTTGCTGCTGTGGGCAGATGACCACATTTCCTCTTGCAAAATGTTGCTAAGTCTTGAGACATCTGGGTCATCATCAGATTCACAAGAAAATCACAAACGTAATTCTACCGATCACAACTAACACAGCTTGTTGATGCAATCTCTGACTTATTTGTCCTTATTGTTCGAGTTATTGTGAAAGAAATACAAAACAGATTTTTGTTTGTTTTGAATGAGGTCTATCTTTACTCTATCTTTCACTTCCTATTTTTTGATTTAACAGAGAGATACATGGAAAACAAGCGTCCACAAAGCTTCCTCTCACGGGCTTACAAAAATAGAATTGTGCAAATGAAACCATATTGATTTTACATATCTCAAATTCAAGGATGGTCTATTAATATTGTGCATTATTACTATTTGCATGTGTCTCTGTGAAGTCTCAATGCTTCTCTCCTACATGTCCTGTTGTGCAGCTGATAAAACTCTCCTGATTCAGATTCAGCCACATTTAATGACCATGAACTGTCATGTGTAGAGATATTGTATATTTCAGTGTCAGCCTTTTTGCTTTTGTGGTCCCATGTTTTAGGGCTGTCATTAAGAGAAACAGGCCTCTGAACCACAAACCCATACAGAGGGCTGATTTCACAGCCTGCAGCTTGTTGTTTGATCTACTGCGGAGCTGTTCACACATGTCTCTCACCCATTTGTATAAGAAAAATCTGTATGAGATCAGTCAGAGGGGAGACAAATCAAACTGTGAGGTTAGTGTCACCACACTGACACAAGAAAAAGTGAATGTCTAACAGTAGAGTCAGTTGATACACCAGTATATGAGATACAAAATATATACGAGTGGATGGTATCCTTATTGATACATCCTGAAATGAAAATGTTTTCTCTAATGGCTTACTGACCAGCCAGTGGGTCATTAAAGTCTCTATGCAGTGCAGCCAACATTGCACACTTAAAAAAAAAAAAACAGCTGATATTTAAATATCTATTGATGTCTACAACTCAACAACCGAAAATGGTTTTCAAGCACATCCCACACTATAACAAACGAAAACATCTGATGTAGAAAAATGAAGCCAATGTGGAAGTGCAAAATCCTGCAGTTCTTCCAAGTGTCTGCTTGAGGCTGGTGGCAAAAGTATGGGAAGTCCCATACACACAAAATGTTTTAAACTTTTTAAAATTTTTAAAAAGCAGAAATGAACGCATTGGTTCACAAAGCGAAACTATTCTAATTAGCTCATTTCTTGGTAATCACACACTGTGCAGGGGGTTTCATTTTATGATACCTCTTCTGTTCTGATCTTATGAAGGATAATTGTATTGACAATAAGGCGGAGAGGTGATCTGATCGACAGTTTGGTAAAGAGGCTTAAAACCCGCCTCAGCTCCAGCTCTCAGCCTTTCGTTAAGGTAACTGAAAGTTAGGGTGAGACAGCTAACTTGAACCACATCACAGAGTAAGGACCCTACAGACTATGAGAAAGGACTGATGATGATAAAAATAGCAGGACATTGAAATAATTCAAAATGTATTCTTGGTCATCGTCCTCATCTCCTCTGGAGAGTCTTCTGTTGATTCTCTTCTCATTTACTCTGAAACATGATCCTGGCTCTATTCTGCTGCAGAGGAAGAAGAACATCATTCACATGCCTCTATCTTTGTCATTACTCTGATTGGCTAAGTGAATATAATACCTTCCTCATAAAGATTCTACTTGCAGCAACATAACTGCTGCAGTGATTTTTCAATATTGTTAAACATTTACATGTTCTGCAGAATGACGACCAACTCCAATGCGACTATAAAACTGAACTAAAGTACTCAATCTCCACAGAAGCTATGGCTCAGCAGAGGAGTCAGAAACTGAACTCCAAGTTGCTCCAGAGTGGTATAAGTAGTGTGTGTAGAAACAAGATTAGTTAATACTGAAATGTGCATTACAGCATCCTCTGCAATCAGTGTGTGAATTGGTGGAACTGGCATGTAGTGTTAAAAACTCTCTGAGTTGTCAGAAAAATGGAAAATTTGCACTATACATGAGTACAGTCCATTTAAAATGTAAAGGGTAATAATGAACAATACTGGAGACGGTTCTTTTTAATTTGAGTGAAATTATGATCACTAACAAAGTAGACACAAAGTCCTGCATGTTTAAGCGTTATCAGCATGTTGTTCATTAGTATCAATAATAGTTTTGTTCCATAACGTATGGTTGATTGTAATTACTGTTGCATGGACATGTGGACATCATTCTGAAGTTGTATGTGTATTGAAGCTAATACGTACTACGTTATTTAAAGTTTGATGGTTAAAACATGACGCTATGGTAATGTCTTTTTAATAATAAGGTCATCTGATAATACAATCTTTGAATCTAAAATGTATCTGCTAACCACAAATGTCAAATAGATGGAATATTTACCTCTTCAGTACACAGAAGCAGTTCATGATGCTACATTGCAGCCCTGACATGTATGAAAATCCAAAAGGAAAAACAGTTCAGACGGACCTCGACAAAACAAACACACCCTCACGCCACCCTCAGCTGATAAGTGTGCCAGTGTGTGTGTGTGTGTGTGTGTGTGTGTGTGTGTGTGTTGGAGGGTGCTTCTGCAGGCTCTGCCCTCTGTCTGAGGGTGAATCCTCTGCAACAAAGAGCCCTTTCACTAACACAGCCTGACACGCTCAGCACCTGTTGGGATGCAGGCCTGTGGAGCACACTGACCGCAGCACAGACTATGCACCCCCCCCCGGCTCATATACACACACACACACACACACACACACACACACACACACACACACACACACACACACACACACACACACACACACACACACACACACAGACTCAGCAAACTCCCTCCTTAATCCTCTGGGTCATGCTACAGACATGCAAGTGACATACATAGGCTCGTATGACAGCCGGCCACCGCACCAAGATTTATGTTGTCCTTTCTCTCTGGTCTCTTCTCTGTAACCTCAGGATGACATTATGTCCTCTGACATTTTCAAACTCTAGCTGTCAAACGTATACTGTTTTTATCCATCCAGGTCATGACCACACATGTTGGTAAAAAGCCTGCAGAATTTAAGTGCTTGAAATAGATAAATGGAACGCATGTGCCATTTAAACCATGGTGTGGTGTGGTCAATGGGTTCTGTGACACTTCTTTTTACCACAATTCAATTTCTATTTTCATCTACCCTTTGTCCCATAAACTCAGCATGGCAAACTTTCATAATTCAGACAGCTACTTCTAAGCAGAATCCCCCTCCCCGTGCTGTGTTTACTGTTAATTCTGTGCCCGCATGTTGATCACTAAGTACAGTAACAAAGTCCGATTCAGCTGTGACTCTTTTGGATTCCTGCACACGCCTGCTTGTGCAGATCAGCCCCGCTGACAGCTGGTCCTCAGCGCTTTAACCACACAGCTGTCTCTGCCTCTCCCTCGCCTCTCCCGTCTCTCCGCTCCATCCTGTTCGCAAATTAACATCGGCCCGTCAGACGCAACGCAAGAAATGCTTTTAAAAAGTCCCAGAAAGGAACTCCTGTTCAGGTTGCAGGTCAAGTCAAGCCAAATGAAGACGCTCCAAGCTGTTTCAGCGATCTCAAATCAGCAAATATCCAGATACGAATAACTGTTTTCATGACACACAACATTAAGTCAAACGTCTTTAACAAAACACTCAAGTGGAGCTCCAGTTAACTTTAACTTCCAGTATTGATTCATTGGTTATATTCTATAAACCATAAAGACAACTTCCATCACACTTTATAGAGCCCAAGTCAACAGGCTCTGTCTGTCTGAGATTTTTGCTGTTGTTGTTGTTCTTATAAAAGTCTCACAGCTAACAAAAAACAAATAAAAAAAGAAGCACCGCCATCGTCACGCCTTCGAACATTCATATTGATTCTGCAACTGCTTAATATTGGTGTCCCAGATGGTAAATGGACTTGAACTTGTTTAGTGCTTTTCCATAGTCTTCTGGCTAAAGTGTTTTTTTTTAACACCGCAGGTCACACCTACACATTCACACACTGACGGTA